CCCCAAAACCCCAAAACCCCAAAACCCCATTCTAAGAATTATTTTTATAAGAGATTTCAAGAAAAATGTCTCATTCTCCATTGAGGTAGGTCACCCAAGGGCTAGGCTGGTGATAACCTTGGCGTTAGGGGTACTGAACGGGTTAGAGTCTGGGGAATTTTAGTTTTGGATGCTGAGAGATTTAGGAAATCAAGGAATCAACCTCAAAATTTGGCTCCAAGTATCACCCAGGCTAGATATTTTAGCCCTGTATTGATAAATAATACCCTTCAGGACTCGATAGAAAAGTTTAAGCTTTCACAAAAAGAGAAAATGAAGAAGAGTAATTATAATAATCAAGAAAATCTCACCAAAAATAATATGAACCCCTAATTTTTGCTTGCTAATTTTTATTCACATTGATGTAGAAGAAGAGCTTAGTATCGAGAAGGTACGATACAGAAAATAGACGGTACTAAGAATTTCCCGAACCTTTAGGAGAATATTACCAAAGCCAATAGTTGATCACAAGGTTATTTCATCTCCTTTCTCTGAACTCAAAGGGATGAGAACCAAGAGAACAAATGTATCTTTATTTAGTCAAATATATAGAGGAGCTATCTCAAAGATAATATTCGAAACACACATTTTGCCAAATTCAGGAGACAGTCCATCACAGGATCTGATAGATACTCCAAATACATCAAATGTAGGGAATGTTCTTACAATTTTATAGCAAAATTTGGGCTTAGTAACATTCGAGAAAAAGTTCGTCAAGAAGTTAAGAAGGAAGAAGAAAAAGCTAAAACTAAGCTGACCATCAAGTACAACAATGGTCTTCCAAATCACCGCACTATAAGTATGAGATTCAAGTGATAAACTTCTAGATACTAACTCTAAAATTTCACTAGGGAATTTTGGTTTTAAACCAAATAGTAATTGAGAGGGTAGTAAATATTTAACCCAAGCTTCTATGCTAAGCTCGCCTGTTAAAAATAAGAATTCTCCACAGATGTTACAGAATTCAAACCATATCTTCTCTACTGGCAGTTTACTGCTGTCACAAGATAGTGTTATCTCTCATAATGAGGACTTGAAATTCGAAGATCAGGAGCAGACAGTTACATCTGAAACAACAAAGAAATAAGCAAGTGAAACCTCCTACTCATATTTTGAAGAAATTAGAAATTAAGCAGAAAATAAAGAATTTACAACACTCTTTAGAATCTGACACTGTTGGTGGAACCTATAACCAAGATTTAAAAAGTAATGGAGTCGTCAGAAACTTTCTGGACCCGAAGTTCTCCGTTTTGTCTGATTCCTCAGACAAGATGGAGATCAGGCTCCTTAGTCAGAAAAATTCGTTAAAGAGTTTAGATGTCTCCAATTTGAAGAGTATTCATAAGCTAAAGTAAGTGTCAGAATTTTATTTTTAGGAAATTAAAGGTAACTAAATTCGAAATCTGACAGTCAGGAGGAGTCAGAAATTGTCTGTGTTTACTTTAAATCTTTGATTTACCTCACCTGTCTCAAACTCAGTGTTACCGATATAGAGATATATCCCCGACAAGAAGAATGTCAGTACTTTCAAACTGTTCAGTTTCATGGATGAAGAGGAGAAAGCCAAGATTAAACTACCTGAATACCTCTCTGTAGGAATGATGTCTAGATTTGTAACAAAGCTTCTTCGAAATAAAGAGCTTGCATCATTCTCTAACAGATTTCCAGAATAACTTAGCTCGTAAATATCATATTTCAATATTTACTATATTTCAGGGGTTTTGGGGTTTTGGGGTTTTGGGG